CGTGTCTCAGCAATCCTTGCCCCTTGTAGATCCATCGCTCCAGTGTCTGCCTCCGTCTTCACAGGGCTGCGCTCCTACTGTGTGTGTCTGTCTCTGGTCCTCTTCTCCATATCTTCTAGGGACACCAGGCAGTGTATTAAAGACCCTACTCCAGTATGATTTCATGTTAACTGAACTAATTACACTTGCAATGATCCTATTTTCAAATAACGTCCTATTTCAAATATCATAGCTTTCTGTGGGACACAGTCAACCCATAATAGTCTTCCTCTACCCCCCCCCAAATTCATGTCCTTTCTATACTAAAAAATACATTCACCCCATCCCAACATACCCAAAAGTTTTAACCAGTGTGGCATCAACTCTAAGTCTAAAATCTCATCTATGCTGACCATCAGGTCCAAGTCCCCAGGCTACTGCATCCTTGGCACTGGTCTCTAAGTTAGTCTTCCTTAATTTTGTTTTGTCCCTTTCAGTCCAGACTGGCACTATTTCTGCTGGCATAAAATTCTCAAAAACTTTGTCAGCTCCCATGCCATGCATGGAATCCAAGTCAGCAGACAAGTGGGTCCTCCACAGAGGGCCCCATCTCTATTCCTGGCTTCAGTTGAGGTAGTCCAGTGTATCCATGAGTCATATTCTTCACTTATTTAGTGAACCCTGTTGCACCCTGCTCTTGGCTGTCTCTGTAGTATATTATCTGGACAGGCTGAGAAATTCCCAAATCAAGCTCTGCTTCCTTTTTGCTTCTTCAATTTATCTCTTTCTTCTCACATTTTACTAACACAGTATAAGCAACAGTTACTAGACTTCACCTGCCACACATTGCTTGAAAATCTCCTCAGCTACATAGCCAAGTTTGTCATCTCTTCTGAGTTCTACTTTCTTTCCAACAGCATAACGTAATTCAGCCAAGTTCTCTGATGATTTATGACAAGTATCGCCTTTCCCTCAGAGTGCGGTAACATGCTCCTTCTTCCCCTCAGAGATGTCACGAGAAGCACCTGTAATGCTCCTAATTCTAGGAAAATTCTCTGCATGAAGACAGTAGAAGCTTTCTCTGTCGCCCTCCTTTCCTCTTTCTGAGCCCTCACCGGAACTGCCTTTAGTGTCTGTGTGTCTACCAGCAATCTCTCAAAGGTAATCTGTGCTTTTTCTATCAAGTGTTTAAAAGCACTTCTAGCCTCTACCCATTACACAAGTCCAAAGCCACTTCTAGATTTTTATACCTTGTAACAGTAGCACCCTGCTTTCCACCATCAAAATCAATATCAACAATTCATTGATCCCTGTGATTTTCTGGGAGATAGAGAAACATGCCATTGAAATGAGTTCCTAGTCCTGGGTCCAGGCATCCAAACAGCAAAATCAGTGATATGACTATTAGGAGTGAACTAGGAGAAAACAACCTCATAATCATTAAAAATGATGAGGCCACATGGTCAGCGTGTGTTAACCAACATGGCCAGGAGAAATGGGCAGGCCAATGGATTAACAAGTTGTGGTATACGTATACTATGGAATACTATTCAGCCATTAAAAATGATGGAGACTTTACATCCTTTGTGTTAACCTGAGTAGAACGCATTATTCTTAGTAAAGCATCACAAGAATAGAGAAGCAAGAATTCTATGTACTCAAGACTGATATGAGGACAATTAATGATCTAGTACATGTGGGGGAGTGGGGGAAGAGGAGAGCAGAGAGCGGGAAGGACAGAGCCGGGTGGGGTGGTGTCGGTGTGTGACATACCTTTTGGGGGAGGGACATAATTATAAGAGGGACTTTACCTAACACAGTGATTCTCAACCTTCTGAATGCCACAACCCTTTAATACAGTTCCTCATGTTGTGGTGACCCCCAACCATAAAATTATTTTCGTTGCTACTTCATAAGTATAATTTAGCTACTGTTGTGAATTGCAATGTAAATATTTGATATGCAGGGTGTATTTAGGCAACCCCTGTGAAAGGTCATTCGACCCCCAAAGAGGTCGCAACCCACAGTTTAAGAACCACTGACCTAACAAATGCAATCAATGTAACCTGGTTTCTTGTACCCTCAATGAATCCCCACCAATAAAAAAAAATGGGCAGGCCAAAGATCAAGTGGGAAGGATTGGTGTGGAACGCTGATTTAAGTCATCTGGATAAAAATACGTCAATAACCTTTGATGTGGAAGGTTAAAAATTAACTAAAAATTACTACTTGCTACATATTAAAAAGAATGCCATGAAGATAACCTGGGTTCATAAATTCACCATTTGTCTCCCCCCCCCCCCACAGTTATGGCTCTGTCATTAAATGTTTAAAAGAGAAAAATGCCCTGGAATTAGACAAAGATTTCTCAGGAAGAAGTGTTTGAATCTTTTATGTTGAATATTTTGCTGCCTTCAATCTCAGACCATATAATTGAGGAATATTTCACTCTTTATGTTTTCAAAGTTCTTCCTAAGTAGTGACTCATTTTCCACAGGCCATAAAGAAAGCTTTTCCATTCAGGGGGCCTGCCTAGGCAGGACACTGACAGGTAAAATAAAAACCCATCATGCACTGTCTTCTCAAAATAAATGAAGATACTAACGGGAAGCAAACTCAGTAGCCAGGTGGAAACCCCACTTTAGAGAAGATTGGTTGTAGCTATTTCTCCAGTGATCACTTTTACGTGGGTCCTTTCATGGTGGTGATGGGTTCCCCAATCCAGTCAAGCCAATCAACCCACCCATCTTAGGATAAACATTCCGCTTTTACAAACTGGCTGCCAATGTTAGAGGTGGAATCAGGAGTTATTTCCAGTATAAAAACCTGAAGCCACAGGACCAGGACTCTCCTGGTCCTCAGAAAGGGTGATTTATATTTTGTCCGTGTCAACACTCGATTCAGAAAGAGAATTTGAGATTTCCTGACTACAAACTCGATCAGAAATTGTCTATTTCTATTCCGCATTTTATTAGTAGTATCCCAGGAATTAAAACTCTGCAAAAAAAAATACTTTCAAAAACTGCAATGGATTTAGCAATTATAAAGTATGCAATTATTTAATATCTCATTTCCCAGAGGATTATTTCAGATTAGTAGAAATCTTTCCCGGCTATTCCCCTTAGCTGCCAGCAGCACTGATCAGTATAAACAACAATCTCAGTTGCTAAACTCACTTAAAACCTAATGGTTCCAGGCTCTAAGAACCTGACTGTGGCTTAAGCATTTCATATTCCAACAGAAACCAATTTAGAGATGGCCACACTGCCACTATCGTTAAAGATGGTGTTTCCCCAATCCATTGCTGTGGAAGTTAGATGTGGATCTTGATGACACTCATGTGAAGGGCATTGAAATCTACCTCTGCGGGGGAGAAAGACTAAAGCCCCAAAACACAGAGAAACGTGTGCTGGGTCGAATGACTCAAAAGAGTGGAATGGAAATTTAAACTTACTCAACTGTAAACCCATGTTCAACCCTCTATTCGTTATCCAAACCTGCTTTAAAAGTAATCTACATATTCTTGAGAATGAAAGGGTGGCTTTTAGTCTCACTTCAGATTAACAATTTTAAATGAACATTTGGAAAATATCTTCTTAGTTTGATCCGATGATTGCACTTTCAGTAAGCACCAGGATACCTCTGATGGGTCAGATACTGAGCTAGACTCTGAGTTCCTGCTCTCAAGGAGCTCCCAGCTGGTAAGAAGTGAAGGTCATCAGCAAGTCCATCAGGACTGCGAATCGTATAGCTTTTGATTACAGACTGCATGGCGTGCACATAATAATCCTCACAACAGGATGGGGTACCAGAAGGTCCAGTAACTTGCAAAAGCCACATGATTAGTAAAAGAGGAGGATTTGGCTCAAGTGAGGGGCCCCAGAGTCCACAGCCTTAGCTTTTATGCCTGTGCTGTAACAACTTGCAGGACTGGAATGAGACGAGGCACACGGGACGGAAGGAGGAGCTGGAGAAGGTCAGGAAGGCTTCAAGAAGGAAGTGGCCAGCAACGACCGAGATGTCCCCTGGAGGTGAGGAGTGCCTTTCTCAAAGTGCCCTTGTTCCTCCTCCGGTCAGCCAACTCTGAGTCCTATCATTTCAAACATAAATTCTCTCTCTGCAATATTAGCAGCACATGTGGGAAAAATCATTGTAATAAGGGCTGAAATATCAAGTCAGAAAACAGCTCCTAAGGGCTGTGTTTGAATTTTATCCATGATATGATCTTGTTTAAATGTCATATAATTCTTATTCTGGAAATAAGTATTAAAAGCAAATAAAATCACCCAGATGGATGACAGTTCAAAGTAATTTAGGCTTCTTAATTATTGGCTAAGCCAATGTTCACTTTCAGATTGATACTTAGAGAAAGCAAGGTGTCCATCGGCTTTATAAACCTCTACTCCCCAAAGGCTTTTGAATTTACCACATTTAAATACTCATTAAAAGGAGTTTCCAGCTCATTAATAGCTACACGTTAATAGGCATCTGGAGGAGGGGCATAAAGCAGATGTTTGCTTAGCAATTATGTCTTCTGGAGACTCTCTTTCCTGTCTAAAATATGCCAGGTCTACCTTCTATCTTCTGTCCAAGATTTTTGCCATGGGAGAAATTCCTTGATTTTTTTCTAACTCTGAAAGACTAAAGAACTTGACTGACTTACCTAAACCATACTGGACAGAGGTTTTCTATCAGTGATCCCACCATTCCGGCCAAGCTGAAACTTAATCCCTTACTATTTCCAAGTCATCATTAGCTTTCTCCGTAGAAAAGAAGCCCTGGGTGGCACCTGTGGCTCAAAAGCGTAGGGCACCAGTCCTATATGCTGGAGGTGGCGGGTTCAAACCCAGCCCAAGGCCAAAAAAAAAAAAAAAAAAGAAAGAAAAGAAGCCCCAAAGCAAAGTCTCAAGTTCCTGTGTTTTGACCTGTGACGTATTTTCACCGCTGCAGGGAATTGTTTTCATTTTTAAGACCGTAGGACAGAAGGAACATGGGGAAGAGAATGAATGTTTTATGAAAACTGCATTGATGACCATTTTACTTGCTCTTTTCTCTTCTGTGGAAGTTTCACCCATCATGAATTGTTGCCAGACTGCATCAAGCCATTCCTGGGTTTTCCCCACTGTAATTCTCTGCTTATTTGGATTTTTCTCAATGATGAAACCATCAGAGCCATTTTTGGTGGCTTATTTGGCAGGACCAGACAAAAATTTTAGCCTCAGCGTGGTAAGTTAACTAATATGCTTATTTTCTATTCAAATTTAGTAAGAGCTATGTTTAAAGCTTTGAGCAGAAACAAAATACTAGCACTGCTATAATCTCTAATGAAAACAAATGGACCTTAATGATTTTCATGTTATTTGTTGTATAAAAATAAAAATATAAACTCTTTAGCTACAATGAAAGCAGGGTAAGTGCAAAACAACCTTGTTCATCTTTCAGTTGTACAAAAACAGTCCTCTGGGACTTCATTGTATATTAACAGTGATGAGTCATCCCCATGGAAAAATATAAGTCTTAGGAACAATATGAGATTTTGAGAGGGTGAAGTTACAGAAAAGCGTGTAAAACAATCCTTTGAAGATATTTCCTTCTTTCTTGATAACTATTAAGGCTGTTTTTAAAGTTTACTAGGGTCATATAATCTAGTCCTAAGAAAAATCTAAGTCAGTGCTTCTCAGAGTACGGGCCCCTGGACCATACTCTGTATCATGTAGGAATCTGTTGGAAATACAAATTCTCATACCCTTCCCTATTCCTCAGAACCTGAATGTCTATTTTTAACAAACTTTCTGGGTGCATCTGATATATACTAAAGTCTAAGAATTGCTTTAAGATACTGGGCAATAACAAGATCAGACAAGGAACTGGATCAGTTTGATCTCTTTAGGAAAAACATTCACTGACATTCACCTTCACAGGCTGTTACTCGCCCAAGGGGTGTAAGAATTTTATCTTATTTTTCCTTTCTTTCCTAGCCACCAACCTCATTCCTCCACTCCACATCAAAGAAACTGCTCACGGAACCAATCCACCCTTTCACTCACAATAAACACAAGTGCATGCTGACCTTGGAGGTCAGTAGGTGCAAACTAGTTTAGCTGCAGGTATCTATGGGCTTGATTCAGACCCTGAGACTGTCACAGAGAGCAGATATGGAATTCAGCTTTGGCCGTGTTAGGTCAAAGCTTTGACTGCAGCTTTGACTATACCTAGAAGCCAAAAAGAGCAAGGACAAAGTTCTCCCAAACTTCAAGAGCATTTGAGTTAAAGTCCACCTGGGAACAAGGACACAGATTAGGTTAAAACAAAGGACATCCTGAGACTTAGTAAACCTGTAGGATTTTTTTAGTTGTATGGAAATTCAGAGAGGACAGGGATTTCAGAGGGGCCGTCCCAGCCTCCTTTATGTCACCTTCTAGCCACTATGCATTCCTCTTGCAGGAACTGAAATAATCATTCCTACTGATGGGTTCAGGTAATGGACTATACAACCAGTTCCATCAAAATAGTGGCCAACTTACTTGCACAGGAGCGCTGCTCAGAAGTTTCTCCTGGTCCCTTCAGAGCAGCCTGATATACAAAAGCCGAGAATGTGAAAGAGGAGAAGGCAGAGTCCAACACATTTCCTCCTCTGACATTTGATGACATTTGATTTCCAGCCACCCATTTGCCCTATATTTGCCTCATCATCCAGACAGTATTTCAATGATCTACTCACATGCTGATGCAGATCAGAGATAAAGATGGCCGGTTCTCCCAGTACTGAGACCACCTTTGCAAACTTTTGGTTCTGACTCTGAAGAAGCAGAGCAAACTGCTTTGTTCCATGCTCCTAGGCAACAGTACTTGAACAGTCCTGGAATGCCCTAGAAATACTGTTAAGTGTAGAAAGATTAATTTACACAGTAGCAGAAGCATTATGCATGGTTTCTTTTCTCCACCTCAAAAGCTCCTGCAGATTAAATTACCCTTTAAAAATGTAAGCATCAGGGCTCAGCACCTGTAGC